TCTCTTCCCATATTCTGCTTTACACATTTTTCACCTTTTGTAACTGCACACAAACAGCACTCAAGGTTAATTTGAACCTGGAAGCAACGTTTTCAATTAATGTACCTACATCCTTGCAGATTAATCCCAAGTGGGAAAAATAAAGAGAACAGCAAAATGTGTTTTGGTACAGCACTGACCTTCTGTTTCTGTCTCTTTGTCCCTCCTTTGTTTGTTTCTTGTCTGTTTTTCTTTTAATTCAGATCCAGGACTTTTCTTCAGGGTTCTGGGATGGCAGCAAGCTTGCATGCTGGATGAAGGGAGAAACACCCTGGAGGTTTTTCCCCAAGCTTTCCATCTACCTAAGGGCCACGAACACCAGCCAGTCCTTCCGCATCACCATCCTGCCTCAGGTACCTGCATAAACATAAACACAAAAACAAGTCATCCCTTTTTCTCCATTAACCTGTGAGCCAGGAAAACTCATCTGAACACTCACTCTTTTCTGTTCTTTTGACCGTCATCTCACAGCTATACATCCAGCCAATCACAGACATAGACGGCACGATGGACTGCTTCCGTTTCGGATTGTCTGCGTCATCTAATGGCCTGGTGATCGGCGCTACTGTTATGGAAGGCTTCTACGTGGTGTTTGACCGCGCTCAACGAAGACTGGGCTTTGCACTCAGCAACTGTGCAGGTCAGGGTACACACAAGACATACTAAGACAGAAATGTATGTCAAACTTACCATGTCCAGTCATTGCAAGGTAATAAATTGGTTCATTGTGTATTTCAAAGGAATATTTAACCCAAAAATGATTGTTTGCAAAAGTTAATATCATTGTGTCATGATGGATTTGTGAAGACAACTTTGTTTTTCTAGCAAGCCCCACAATGAACGAAGAATCCAAAAACTGAGAAAATTCTTGATGAACTGGTGGAAAAGGGGGCAAAAAACAACTCATGCAGTATAATCCAAGTCTCATGTACTCAGTTGTCGCTTAGTACTTTCAAAACATGCATTTTCAATAAAACCCTACTATTTAAAACACTTGTGCAAAGGAGTAGCGCACCTGGGTGTGCATTTAATCTTTAAATTCCATTGAGTAGCGTGCAAACACACACACTTTCCAAGGCGTGCCGCTTGTTTGTGCATGAGACTGTTTACATGGAACTGTTTTAAATAGTAAGGATTTCGCAAAAATGCATGAGTGTGCAAATACTGAGCACACACGTGTAAATGGAACATGGTCCCCCTTTGGTCCAAAAATTTTCTCAGTTTTTGGATTTTTCGTTCACAGCGGAGGTATGGAAATTCAATGTAACATGGGAGGAGTAATTGACATTCAAATGGTCATTTTGCAGGTGAAATATTCCTGTAAGTCACTGGTTTGTTAATCTGCAAACAAGAATAACCTGTTCACCATGACCTGAACAGCAAGGTTAAACCTGAAACAGTGGAGCTTTCCCGTAATTCTGTGTAAATATGAGCTGGGGCAAGGCCTCCCACTCTCATCTTAAAGTACAAAGATCACTTTTGTTCCGTATTAAGCAAACAGACTTGGCTCAGATGTAGGCTGAAGGTTAAGGATGCAGGCTTGTGACATTAGGGCTGCCAGCTCCAATTTCTGAGCTCACTGGTAAACTGTAGACAGAGAACGATTCTCATCATCAGCAGTTGGTGAGTTGCCCTTGAGTGACGACCTCAAATTACTTATAATTATGCTGCTCAGGCTGAGATAACTGTTGTTTAAGGAAGCCGCCATGAGTGAAATCTATAACCTCAAACATTTAGTTTTTATTGAGCAGCGGTTTTATACTTAATGTTTGAGATACATTTATTTCAACTTTAATTTAGGGCTGAATAAATAATACTAATTTAGTTTTTCTTTTTTTTGTAAGGGTCAGGGGTGGGCCTACACTGAATCTGTGCCCGCAGAATTCCTACACATTTTTAATGAATATTGTCTATCACGTTACAGGCTGAAAAAACCTTCCTCAGATTTCTGCAGACTTTCCTTTTGGATCACTGCTGAGAAAAAAAATCTGCAGACACTCTTTGGGTCTGGTCATGAGGTTCATTTTGTTTTTTTGGCCGGTGCATTGATATTTTCCAGCACTGCTTTTTACTTGAGATGTGACTCAGCTAGTGAGGAGTAAGTGACTATCTGTCTTGTATCTCTCCACAGTGAGCAGTGGAGTTGCTCTTTCCGAGATCGCAGGGCCCTTCTCAGCAGCAGACGTGGCGGCCAACTGCTCCGGCGGGGCAATGAAGGAGCCTCTGTTGTGGGTGATCTCCTACGCTCTGATAGCAGTCTGCGCAGTCGTCCTCATCATCCTGTTGCTCCTGCTGGTCCTGCCCTGCCGACGCAGAAACTTCTCCGGGGAGATAACCGATGAGTCCTCTCTGGTACGCCACCGCATCAAGTGACTGAGAGGAAACAGATGGGTGGACGGGGTGAACAGGCAGGGGATCAGCGAACAGAGTCCATCTATGGTGGTGGAGAAAGGGGTGAGGTTTGACCTGCACCGAGCAGCGACCCTCACCTCTGAATGTCTGACTGAATCTGGACTGCACTCATCAGCTTGGCCCATTGAAGTAGACACTGACATGTCAACGGCCTCATGACGGAAAATCCACCCCGAAACCTTAAAAACAGTTATAGGTGATGTATTTATGCTTCCAATTTCTTGTCTGGTGGTGGCCCTTTCTTATTCTCACTGATAATTGCTCACACCATGTCATGGGTGACACAGAGGAAGACATCCGGCACAGAAGAAGAACACTCACTGACTGAAACTTTAAAAGTTCGCAATGTCACTCAGCTTTAGGGCAGTTTGACGACTTTTTCTGAACTGGAACGACTCGTATGCTGTCAGTACTGCTCTTCCCGCCTACACCGACTCAGCTCGAGTGCAGTTTGAGAGAGCACTCCAAACAGGCTTATTCTCTTTAGGACTGTCAAAGGGTATTCTGGGAAATGTAGGACATCACTAACACAAACAAAAGGGTGAACTGAAATATGAAACACTTAATCGCAAAATAAACTCCTGTTGCACACTTAACATTTACCAGCAATGACGCAGAACAATATAATAGTAGCTAAGGGTGGAATTTCTTCCATACAGACAATCCCATGGCAGCAACGACCATTGGTGCACTCTTGAACAATTTAAAAGTGACTGATTTTACTTTCAGGCACACTGTGTGTTATTCATCTCTACAATTTCATACAACCTAAAATGTGCCTTCACATTTTGTTTATACAGTCTGGGATAGGTGAAGCAGTGTGTCTCATGCCTTTCTATGGTTTGAAGTTAACCTCCGGTCTTTTATTGAATGAAACGAATGCCTGTGCATGTTGAAAAGCTGCTCTGTTAATAGGAAGAATATTACTAGAGGTGACACACATGTTTACAGTGCCCGTAGTGCCTTTAAGTCTCAGCTCACTGCTAATACAGACTGATGTACAGTATCGGAAGTTTGAGACTTAGTCTGCTGAATTGCACTTTGTTTCTGAAGTCAATCAAAAGTGTAATATAAAACTAAAGATCAATGTTTCTCGCTCTGGTATGCAATTTGTTGTATTAATGTAATTTTACTAGTTCTGCATACATCTATGTGTATATTTAAATTTAATTGAATGTGATTGTATTATTATTATTATTCCAAATTGTTGCTTTTTTTAGACACTAGATGTTCAGGGGTACATATATTTATACTGCACATTTTATACAGACGCTAAATTAGAAACCAAAGCAATTTTGAAACTGACACACTGGAAACACACGTTCTTTCTGTGTACCTGTGGACTACAGTTAACTTTGTGGCAAAACTGACCGACCTGTTTGCAATAAAAAGTAAGTGCCATTATATAGTCTCTTTACACTAGTGACAGCTATATCCATCAAAACAGAAGACTGTGCCACACAATAAATCTGAAAAATGTGCTAGTGTGTTCTGTTGGTTCTGAGCAGAGTATCAGTGACATCAAAAGTGTCGCTATCTGACAAAATTTAAAGTTGTCAAATCGAAGGTACACTTGAAGTTGAATGTTCACTTATTATTAAGTGTATTTTGTGCCAAAATTGTACTTGTGCTGTAAATAAAAGAAGTTGTGACCAAATCAAATGTGTAAATCATTTTAAATTAACAAATGTTTATTTTTGTGAAAGGTTACTCAGGAACAGTCAGTGGGAACAAGCTCGATGTGGTTTGTGAGTGACATCTTGTGTTGACACATGGTATCTGCATCTACCAGCTCAAATATCGCTATTAATGTGTTTCAATCATATTTACACAGACTAAAAAAATACTTTATATATTTCACACAAATATACAAAAGGAAACAAACAAACTTTATATAATAATAATAATAATCTTGTTAAATCAGAAAAATCCGGGGATTTTTCTTCCTCAAGTGAATGCATTATCCCTCCATATTAAAGGGAAATTTCGGTTTATTTCAACCTGTCTCCTATCGTCCTAAATTTGTTTCAAGTGACTAGTGACATAGAAATAATAGTTAGCATGTTAGCCGTTAGCCTAGATACAGCCGGGGCGCATAGAAGCGTCAGACCTGTTAAAACGTAAGTGAACGGGCAACCTTCAAGTGCAAAGGTAGTCCACTAAACAAGCTTTTTTTCCACAAAGACTGCCTCATATCGTTAGGATAAATGTCAGAGAACATATAGAAAACGACATGTAAACGTGTTGTCTTACCTTCCCAGTGTGCTGCCATGTTTGTTTATCCCTCTAGCTCTGCTTTCCAGGAGACGGGTTGAAATAAACCGAAATTTCCCTTTAAGAGATACTAACATTGTTCATTGGTTTTGCTCAAATTCTTGTAAGAAGCTCCAATGACTGCATCAACAGTGATTTATGAAAACACAAAACCGTAATATGTAGGAAATAAGTTATGTTACTGATACAGATATTGTAAAAGGTAAATGGACTGCACGAGTCACATTCACCCATTCACACACACATTCATACACCGGTGGCCGAGGCTACCATACAAGGTGCCACCTGCTACTCCGTTTTTAAACACACTCACACACCAATGGTATCCTGCTCAAGGATACTTCAACATGTAGAGTGGATGAGATGGGGATCAATCTGCTGATCTTCCAATTGGTAGACGACCCACTCTACCTCTGAGCCACAGCCACCCCTTTAATGAGGCATTTATATGAAAATGTATCTCTGCACACTTAAAATTGTGAACACAGACATCTTAACTGGTTCATCCTCAGTCCTGCCGTCAGTCATCTTGATGCTTCTGTAAATGGGAAAAAAAGTTTTTGTTTAAAGTGATAATTATGTGTTTTTACAGATATATATCCTTATCCTAACAAAATAGGAAAAACCCCAAGGAAGTGTAAAACTTTTGCAAGGCATTGTAAAATTAAGACTCCACTGTGTAGGTATTACCACCCGCACATCCAGCGTGAGTCAAACAGTACTACTTAGAGCACCAGATAGATAAATCGTCTTACTGCATCTGCTCCTCCAAGCAGATTAAATCAAAAGCTACAAATGATCTGTACATACAGCACATGGAAATCCTCGGCATAAATTGGGATCTGATTTAGTTTAACTTCCTTTAAAAATGCAATATGTCTTTGGTGTTTACCCTCATCTGACGGTAGATCCAGTCCAGGAAATAGGTGATGTTGCCATAAACACCTGGTTTGTTCTGCTCAGTGCAGTGTCCCCCCCAGATACTGTCCCCTACGAGCCACCATACTCCATCCTTAAGGGACACCAAAGGGCCGCCGCTGTCAGCCTGAGAACGAGAAGCACAAAACTTAGTGGTATTTTATGAACTACACTCTTCAACACACATATAACAAGATCCGCACATTCAAGATCAAGGCACTGAAATCAGTGTTTCTTTTTGATAAAATTAAAATACTAAATGTTATTCACTCGGTTTAAGAAGCATTTGAGATCTTTCAAAGCTTTCTAAGGTCCATAAAAACATGATATCATGGTCAGCTGCCACCTCAGTGCTCCGACTTTACATTCGCTGTTGATTGGACTGTATGAGTGGTTTGTTTTAAGTCACAGAGTGTAACTGTTTATCTAAAGCTGTTACCATGTATAGAACATAATGCAGGTCTTGTCTGATGACGCCTCAAAGTAAGTTACATAAGGGCATGAAAATGCTTTGAGTTCTTTCAAGAACAGGAACTGCTCAATTTGTGCAAGAAAAATGTAATTGTACCAGAAAATATCTCATCAGAAAGAGTGTTTGGTGCCGCCTGTGTTCGCAGCTAATGCTTGGACATATTAAGCCTCAGGGCAGCGGACCAGTGTGGTGGCAGCAGTCACACTGCAGCCATCTGGTACTCACAGTAAAATAAAACAAACTGCACTTTGTGGCATGTTTTAATAACTGTATCATCTCAACATTGATAAAAGTCTTATTGTGTTTTAGCATTCAAATTTCATGTTCGGCCCTCTATGAGAAAGGTCTGCGTGGTTTGTCTTACGTGGCACATGTCGGCCACTGCCTCCGTCCCTCTGGCACATAACATGTCCTGTGATATCCTGCCGTTGTAGGCGATGGAGCTGTTGCAGTCTGCAGTGTCTATGAGAGAGACCTGAGCCTCCATCAGGTGTGGAGAGCCAGAGTCTGTCAGAAATAACAAGACATTAAAAGACAGTCATTTCAGTATTTAGTCATATACATTGGACTAGATAATAGGAAGTAGTGGAAAGTAACAGTACATTTACTGAAGTACTGTTGTTAAATACAGTTTGGAGGTACTTGTCCTTTATTTGCAGATTCAGATTAATAATAAAATATATAGTTCAAGAAATAACTTTTTTATTGAGCCAGTGAGGGAGGGGGGTTTACAAGTCACCTTGCAGTAAATTAAGTAATTAAAATGGACCATTCTGCATCATGGATAAATTTACTTTTTGTAATTTATCACATGCCTCCTCAGTGAACAAAGAATCCAGAAATAGAGAAAAGTCTTAATGAATTCAATGAAACAACAGCCACATTTAACAGCAAAACCATTTAAAAACTTGTGCAGTATAATCCATGTCTCATTAGTCCTGGCTACGCTCAGTAGCCAGGACTAATGAACACATGCATTTTTGCTAACATCTTACCATGTAGAACTGAATTTAAAGGGAAACATATCTATGCTCTCTTCAAAGCCACACTCCATTGACAAAAACAGTAATTTTACCTGGCTGAACACTGGAGCTGCTGGTTTACCACTGCCTCGATCAGCAAGTTTGTTTGAGTTATTGTGCAACTTTGGTGCTTTAGAGGGTCAGTTCAGATTCATAGAAGTCACACAATGATACAAATAAAAGTATTGATCGAGACAATGATAGTCCAGCAGCTCTTGTGATCAGCGAGGTAAAATTACTGTTTTTGTCAATGGAGTCTGGCTTGGAAAAGAACATTGAAGTTTCACTTTCAGTTCTGTGTTAAATAGTAGAGTTTTAGTGAAAATGGATGTATTTAGGAAGTATTTAGGCTACAACTGGATAAATGAGACTTGGATTATACTGCATGAGTTGTGTGAGAGTTTGTATACAGAAGTTTTGCTCTATTAACTTCAATCCATCAAGAACTTTCTCAGTTTTTGGATTCTTTGTTTGCTGGAGGCAGTTTTCTTTTGGAATTTAATGTAACACAGGGTGAGAGTTTGATGTACAAAGGGTCTTTTAGGGAGGGTGAAGTATCCCTTTCAGTATATTTGGATGCTTATACTTGTGTATTTTTACTCAAGTCAAATTTTGAAAAGATTCTTTTACTAAGTACAATGTATACACTGTAGTAAGTGACAGATCTGAGTACACCTATTTCTTCTATCACTGTTAGCTGCTACCAGGAAAGACAGAGGTAAAATCAGTGAGAACAGTGTGAGAAGTTCACATACTTTGGTGTGAAGTTTTCATTTTCCAATACTTCAAAAGTAAATATCTAATCTTGGCTAACCAGTTTGAATTTCTTGAATCTTTCAAACCTTTGTCATTAAATCAAAACACATAACCACAAGCAACCATAACTTCCTCACCTCCGTTTATTGTTCGATTGAATCCTGTAATCCAGCCCTTCTGAGGCACGGAGATGTTTACATCAACATTTGGGAGGCACACAGGTCCGATGTTACTGGAGGCTACCAATGAGAAGAATGTACATGTTGTTATAAGTCATTATAAGTCATTTGGTCACCCTCTACAACAATATACTGTCCCTCTGCCTCGACAAACTGGCTCCCTTAAAAACCAAAACTGTCTCATTTACTCACTCATCTCCCTGGTACACTCCTGAACTCCGTCACATGAAAACCCGTAAGCGCCAGCTTGAAAGACTTTACAAGAAAACCAGTCTCACAGTCCATCACCATGCCTATACAGACCACCTTTCAAACTACAAAGACGCCCTCACTGCCGCCCGGTCCAACTACTACTCACAACTCATTCACTCTGGCTCCAATAACCCCAAGACTCTCTTTTCCACCGTCAATAAACTCCTCAAACCCTGCGACAACACCCTATCCTCCATTACAACTGACAAATGCAACTCCTTCCTGGCATTTTTTCAATCAAAGATCTAAACCATCTACACTCAACTCAGCAACCATACCATCCTCCATTATCAAAGCCTGCCTCCCAACTATCTCCCCACTCATCACTACCATCATTAACTCCTCCCTCACCTCTGGCTCTATCCCTAAATCCCTGAAACTGGCCGCTGTCACCCCCATCCTCAAAAAACCCGGCCTGGACCCTGACGTCATCTCAAATTTCCGTCCCATCTCGAACCTTCCCTTTCTGTCAAACATTCTGGAACGTGTTGTCGCCTCCCAAATCAAAACCCACCTCCGCTCTCATGAACTATATGAACCATTTCAATCCGGATTCCGCCCTCAACACAGTACCGAAACCGCCCTCCTCAAAATCACTAACGACCTCCTCCTCTCTGCCGACTCTGGCCACCTCAACATACTCATCCTCCTTGACCTCACTGCTGCCTTTGACACCATCAACCACACCACTCTGCTATCCCGCCTACAAACTTCCCTCAACATCCCTGGCTGAAATCATTCCTCACCGACAGACATCAGTTCATCCACGTCAACAACTGCACCTCTGCCACCGTCTCCCTGCTTCAAGGTGTCCCTCAGGGCTCGGTGCTTGGTCCTCTCCTCTTCATCAGCTACCTACTCCCCCTTGGTTCCATCATCCGTCGTCATGGTCTCCATTTCCACTGCTACGCTGACGACATCCAAATTTACATCTCCACAAAATCCATCACCCCGGCCACCCGCTCTACCCTCACCAACTGTCTGACTGAACTCCAATCATGGCTGCAAGCCAACTTCCTCAAACTCAACTGTGACAAATCTGAAATAATACTCATCGGCCCAAAATCCATCTCTACAGCAACACAAAACTTCACCCTCAGCATTGACAGCAACACCCTCTCTCCCTCCCCATTAATCCGCAACCTTGGTATCATCTTCGACAATAACCTCTCATTTGAACATCGCATCAGCCGCCTCGCCCAAACTGCCTTCTTTCACCTTAGAAATATTGCCCGTCTCAGTCCATTGCTCTCCTTCTCTGCCGCTAAAACACTCATCCATGCTTTCATCACCTCAAGACTGGACTACTGCAACAGCATCCTCTACGGCTCATCATCCAAAGTCCTCAACAAACTTCAGTACATCCAAAACTCTGCCGCCCGCCTCCTCACCCACACCAGCTCCCATGAACATATAACCCCCGTCCTGCAAAACCTACACTGGCTCCCTGTCCCGTACAGAATCAATTTCAAGATCCTCCTCCTCACCCACAAAGCCCTCCACAGCCAGGCCCCCTCCTACCTCACGGACATGCTCCACCACCACACTCCCTCCAGCAACCTTCGATCATCCGACAAAAACCTCCTCTTACCTCCACACAGGACCAAGCACAGAACCTGGGGCAACAGAGCCTTCTCCATAGCCGCCCCCTCCCTGTGGAACACCCTCCCTATACACATCCGTGACTGTCCAAATCCATCCACCTTCAAATCACTCCTCAAAACCCACCTTTTCAAATCCGCTTTTAACCTTTAACATTAGCTTTTCGTTCATGGTTCCTCATGTGCCCTCCTTTTCTTTGTTTTGCACTATGCTTTTGCACCTTGTTGTTTTATATTGTCCTTGTCTTCTGTTTATCTCTTTGCACTTACATGTTTGTACTTCTTTTCTTTGGTTTTAAATGTAAAGCGTCTTTGAGAGTTGTAAAAGCACTGTGTAAATAAAATGTATTAGTATTATTATTATTATTGTGTTGAGTCTGAGAACCTCAGTGCTCTGGAATTTATGAGCTGGTTTACACAGAAGAAGGGATATGTACACTCACTTGCCAGTTTATACAGTTTTAGGTACACCTTGCTAAAATTAATGCAGTCCAACATACAAGGACATAAGTTTTGTTTCAACACTGGGGAGGACACATACGTAAGAGGGGGTTTGGGGGTTTGTTTGAATATCAAACACTTAATTCCCGACATTATGGTGGATTTTTTGACACATTTATGTGCTGCGCCCCCCTGCCCCCGAAATCTACACCTATGCTAATATGACACTCCTGCCATAAATGTCCTACCTGTAATGTTCAGTTCTTGTTGGTACATTCATTTATTTATTCATTATCCATAACCAGGTAGGGTTATGGGGAGGCTGGAGCCTATGCCAGCTGTCATTGGGTGAGAGGCATGATTGTGGGAGGAAGCCAGACAACCCGGAGAAAAGCCACGCTGACACGGGGAGAGCATGCAAACTCCGCACAGAAGGGCCCCGGCCAACTGATGGATTCAAACCCATAACCTCCTGCTGTGAGACGACAGTGCTAACTACTGCACTGCTATGCTGCCCTCTTGTTGAAACAGGTTTTGAATAAACTATATGATCAATCTGGAGGCTACAGTTTGTGTATTACATTAGAAAGTGACATGTTTCTGTTATTTAGCCTTCATACACTGGTATAAATCAGGTGGCCATAATAATAGAAACTCTTGTCTGTTTAGCTACATCCTCCAGAATGATCATACAGTTGAATTAACACCTCTCTAAAACAGTTTCAAACTGAACATTATAACCTTTATAAAGGTTGCATTTACTGACTATTCATTCTGTACTATGTACTAGCAACTTTGGGTAAATAAGGGATATACTAAAAGTGTTTTGTTCTTTTCACACAATCTACAATAAGTGACTACCCAAGAACCCTGTTTTTTTTATTTTTGGTCACAGAGAGATTTAGTCCTGTCTTCAGTAAACCGGAAAACAGGCTCCTCGAGAAAAATGTGTTAAGATGGGATTAACTGTGCTGAGTGTGGCTGTATTCATTTTGTTAAATCTTGCTTTGTTTTTTCACCCCTGTGTGTGTAAATCTGTCCATAAGCACCTGTGATGTCCAGAGGTTTAGAGAGCCTCATCAGAGCGATGTCATTCCTGCGCGTGACGCTGTTGAAGCCTTCGTGGGCTATGATGTGGCTCACAGAGTACGCAGGGTTAAACAGAGTGCCCAGTGGATCCACTATCCCAGCATACACAGCCCAGTCTGCCGGGCTGGAGGTACTGCAGGGGAGAGACACAGCAGAGAGGAGGTTCAGACCACAAACAGTGATTAGGGAAGCAGTGAAGACATCACCTAAACTTACCTACATCGCCTATCCAAGGTGTACCCAAAGTACAATGAAAGCTGTTCTTGTTCCATTCTTAGTACATGTGCATGTATGTTCTCATTTAAAAGGTAAGACTGTGAAGATTTATCCCCAACATGCTTCTGTAATTGAGTTATTTAGGTTTCAATACACTGAAATGAGAGGTTTTTTTAATCTTAGCCTGAATATTTTCTTGAAAAAAGATACTGCAGATAACTAGACCTGGGACTTATTAGGTGGAAAACACAATGGGACCATAGCATAAAGCCTTACCTTGTCTAAATTTAAAGTAAATAACAATATCACAAAGAAATAAACATTTTACGCATGATTTTCTAAGGTTTCGTGCAGGCACTGTTGGACTATATAGGAGAGTGGTGAAAGGTCCTCACCGGGCCACACAGTGTGCTGCAGTGACTATCCAGTAGGGGGAGATGATGGCTCCTCCACAGCGGTGGAAGCCTGCAACCTGCAGGCTGACCTGCCACGGCCAGGCCCCTGGAGAGGCCAACTGACCCCCTGAGGCCCTGCTGGAGTTCATCCCACTCCCACAATCTGAGGACAAAACTGCTGTTAGAAAGGATGCACTTCACTGCTCCAGGGCTTTTAAACACAGGTACAAAAGAGGTCACAGGTGTGTATCACCAAAGACAAAGTGTAAATACATGCTACAAAGAAGAGAGTGAATATAACAGTGATCATAAAATCTGACTGTGGTTCTCTCTAGGACTCATCGCACAACTTTTTATGCATTGATAAATGTGGCTGAAACAGAAAACAGTATCCAGAATGAAAACTTATTTTAAACTCAGCAACAAAGCAACAAGCTCTTCAAAATCCTTAGTGCTTTTTTTAATTCAGTTTTTGCTTTTAATTTGGTGTGGGCACAAGAACACGAGATAAAGGAGATCATTTCAGTACATTTCAGCATCTCTGTTTTGGATATTTACAATGTGGAAATCAATCAATCAATTGTAACAAATAATCAACACGTACACAGACCCTATAGCAACACCCACCCACCCGTATGTCATATACTGTCAGGGAGAACGACGTTGGACATCACAGTCATTAGATTCAGCTCTCTAAAGGCCGCTGTTAAAAACTGTTGGCACATATATTCAGCAGTCACCTACAGAGTCATTTCAGGAGAAGATATTTGTCACTGAGGTGAGAGGACTTTAAGTGTTTTTCATATCAAAATGTAAATTTCCAGCTCTTCTGTGTTTGTCTTTTCAGCTTCTATGCAATGGGATTATAATAAAACAATTATTACCATTAAAAAGTATGAACAGAGAGCTACAGTTTAGATTTTTCTTTTTTTTTAGCTTAGAGAAAAAAATCATAGTTGTTCATGCTTGTCACGTACCCTATGAGGTTGGTTGTCATGTATCACTCTTTGTACTGGTCTTTCTATTGATATAGGGATTAAAATACACATAAGAATGATTTTCCTGGGTTGTTTGCATTACAATGAAAATGCAAATGAAATTTAACTTTTTAATCTTATTTGCCTCCATTTCTTATTTTCCTCTCATTCAAATATATAAAGACAACCAACACCGTGGTAAAGGATGGTTATCACAAGTGCACAAGATGTATTTGACACTTCGTATCCTTTAAACGGAATAAGCTTAAAGAGAGTAAGGTTACTTTATTCCTACCTGACACTTAAGACTTCCATTACACATTGCAAGGGAATCTATTAACAATAAAGTTTCTGAAAGATTCCAATGAAAGTAAAAACTGTGACGACCAGCCCCGTCCTCCCATCCCTATAAACATATGGATTACAAATAGTAATAACATACCAGTACATTGCAGTGTCACCACGCTGTTGTTGGGACAGGTGTTGCTGCAGTGGGAAAAAGAGACATTTGAGGTGTATTAGTAACACAATGATTCAGTATTAACAACTTTAAACTGGTTCACCACCACTTATTCACTAACCTGAGCACGAGCTGTTGCAGTATGGATGCCTCAGGGTTGAAGTTAGACTTCACTTGTAAGAATCCCTCATCAGAGTCAGTCTTCTGTTGGCCTGATTTCAAATATGTGCCCCTGTCGAAGCACATCACAGAAAATGCAACCTCTTAAACACATGAATCCTTCATAACAGGACAGAGAAAACTATGGAAGCCTATTTTTGTCAGTGGATGAGAAACATTCTCAACATTCTCAACATAATGAGTCTTAAAATAATAATCCATTAAAATTATCTTTTTTTTCATCACAAAGGCAGAAATGAGGTTCCATAGCAACACACACTGGGGGAGCATCTTACCTGCTGTATCCAACTTGCTGGCAGCTCGCTCTCCCCTGCTGGTCGCTCCAGCCGTGAGAACAAACAGTCCTCCAGTTTTTACTCTGAGTGGAGTAAACCTGGAGCAGGAAACTGGAGCCATGCAGCCTTACTGAGCACAAACACAATCAATGGAAAGTAGGTAACCGGACTCAGGTAACACACACAGACAACTGACAATTAACAGTAATGTTCAGTTTTGAGCCTTAAATGCAAAAAAAAAAAAAAAAAATCGCAACTGCAGGTTGTTCAGGTGTGTTTTCTGCACTTTGGCCCCTGGATGAGCTCATTTACCACAGTTAGCTTCATCCTGGCCTGCGGGACAGTCCGTCACTCCGTCACACCACTGGGACTCCCACACACAGCCAACGTCACCACACTGCACACCGTGCATACAGGACGAGGAGTCTGGGGGGACAGGAGACAAGATTCAGTTCACAGAAAGCTTGTGATGGAGTTATTACAGCGGACAGTGAGGGGATAAATAAAACCCTGCACTCACAGTAATAAGCGAGGAGGATTCCAGCCACCAGCAGGAGGAGCAGCAGGGAGATCACAGCGGCCACAGTGAACTTCACACACCTCTGTTTTACACCTGACAGGACGACACACACCAATTTACACCAAGCTTTACTGTATGAAGAAATCTGTTTATGAAACCATCAGGTGAATGCATCTTTATGACTGGTGATGTATTTACATTAAAACAAGTAGAATCTATTACAGGTAGGCTACTACATTTGTATATTTAATAATATATAGCAACATGTCTGTCCACATTTTGGAAATAAAAATTAAGATGCAAGTTGATCCCATTTAGTCTGTCAATCTAATTCATTATTTCAATTTTCATATAGCATTAAAGGTTATCGGTTATGCCTACAAGTATTTAATTAACAAAGTGTATTATCACTTATGATCCATGTTCAAATTAACTGTCATATTACATTAACAATTACAGGAAACAATGAAATATAAATGCATGAAGCTAGGGACCCAGCTAGCACTGGATGTCAATATGACATCAGAAAGACGTTGGAGTCAGACTGGTGTTACATTTTAGTTGGATTGAAAATTTGGGCTGACAATATTTTAAATGTCTACCCATGTTAGAATTTCACGTTGTGTGGACGTTAATTTTATGGTGTTTTGCAGACATTGGGTTTTGTTCTTTATACTTTATTACTACATCTTGTTATTCTACGTCAAGATGAAGGTGGCATGAGATGTTTAGAAGATGCTGGATTTTGGTTTCTTTATTTATTTATTTCTATTTAACCTTTATTTAACCAGGAAGTCCCACTGAGATTGAAAATCTCGTTTACAAGAGAGACCTGGCCGAGGTAGCAGCCAATCAAAACACATTTAAAATACAACAAATAATACAATATATAATACAAAAATCCAAAATAAAACAACAACTAATCAAACATAGTGGCCTCTCAAGAAAAACAAGCACATGTCTCTATCACCACATTTTTTATGATGCCCTTAAATTCAACATCTTTTTAAAGATTCTAAACAAAACAATATAAAAACAATAAAATATCAACATAATCCGTTAACAGCATCCCATGCCAAATTAAAGTTGGCATTAGATGTTGTCCTGACATTGAATTTTGGTCACCTGATGTCACACGAGCTGCTGTCATAAGAGTTATACGCTTATTTTGAAGATTATTGGCTAATATCATGAATTGCACTTATTTTGTCCAGGATAATCATGACATGGAATTTCATCATATGTAGCTATATTTTGCTTGCAATTAACCTTCCTTTGAGAAAAATCCCAATCAAAGCCTGCTTACAGTTCCTGTTATAGCGGTTATATTAACAGTATACACTGCTTATTAAAAGAAAAGGAGACTGTCCTACCTTTGTTACTGGGAATGGAGGGACTGATCTCAGGTGGGGGTTGTGGGGTCAGATGATGAACATACTGAGGCTTAACATCTTTTCGGCTGGGTGGACGAGGTTTCCTCACATCGCCTTCATGGATGAAACCAGGACCTGAATTCGCATACTGTCAGTGAAGCATAAGTGATGAGAGAGAAGCTTTCATACACTGGCTGCTTGAAGCATTTGAGTTTAAGTAAAAAAAAATGCATTACATGTAGAACAGATTGTCCAGCATTTTAAAATACCGAATCACACACATTTTTATTACATTTCCAATAACATTTTTAATACTGGCATCATTATAGTATGAATAAGCGTTACTCTTCTTTTATATTCCTATTTAAAGAAGTTCTTTAAACTGATATGAATAAAATTAAAACTTACCGGATTAGTGGTCATTTTCTGTTTGACCAACAACGTCTGACAATTTACTGATGGGTGCAGTGAAGGAAAATGTCTTCCTGGGTTAATTCAATCATCAAACTTGCATGTAAATAATCTGGTCAATGTCAACATCCACTCCAAGAAGCTATACAAGAAGTTGTTCACAGCTCTGCTCTCTGGAAAGATTAAAAACTCAGGTCTCCAGCATCTGCTCTCACATTCACCCCGTCCTGCTCTCTGCTCTCACACCACAGTGATGAAAGAGTTTGTCTGATCATCTGAGTGGCCACTCCTCACACTTCACTGGCATCGGTTTAAAATGTCCCTCCTGAGCACACAACAAGCACAATAAGGGCTGTTTTCTAGTCTAAACATCTCACAAGTGTTATCTGCTGAAGTGTCAGAGTGGTGAGTGAACACTGCTACACTGAGTAAGCAATGGAAAGGTACTACACTACATGAACTGTATACAGGCAAACATTAAGCTTCAATACACGAGTCAATGATTGACAGAGAGCAGTTTTATCTGTAAATAAACTTGTAATAAATTAGTAGTCAGCTAAAGTGATTAACCGAGAGACAATCTGAACAAAAAATTATTTTAATTCTGTTTGTTTAATGATACAGAAATCATATTAAACTGCAGCATTTTACAGTCCAGGCCAAGTTGCTGTTAAATATACATTTCTGAATGCCCTAGAGATACTATATGAGCTTTACAGCACAACAGAATATTCACTACTTTGATAGCGAAAAAACTTAACAAACAAACAGCTGAAGTGAAACAAACCTCTGCTGAATAAGGCATATTCATACATTCATAAAGGCATGTATTCATAGTGAAAAGCTTTGGGTAATTATTGGCACACCTTAATAACTTCATACAACATTCACATCTCATGGTGTAAAAAACAGGATCAATCTCACCTTTACAGTAAACATGCCGGCCCTTTCAGCACCACAGTTTATTGGTCCTTTGAAATCCCTTCAGGATTTTGTGATTCACACAAAAAATTGGTGATTTTATGGCTTGATTTGCAGGAACTGTTGCATGGAATTTGCCAAACTGACTTTATGTTCGGGTAAAGTGCAACATTGGACAGAAATTCATAATTCGAACAAAGAAAATCAATTGGCGCTTAGTCTGAAAACAAAAAACAGAGAACTTCCTTTGGAAAATGGTAAAAAGAGGAATAGATACCAGGAACTTGTTTCACCATGTTTATATTCTGAAGCTCACTTGCATAGTCTCTGTGCAATTTTCCTTTTCCTAAACAATGCAGTGATATCTTACCTTCAACAACGAACAAAAATAGTGTAATTTTTTGCCAGTAACATCTATTGCAATCCAGAATTTTAAAAACAGTTTGACTTCTGAAAGGAGGTTCCTCTGGCACAAGCGAAGACCACGAAACTGCCTCTATAAGAAGAAAATGATAATGAGGCCAGTACACTTGTCGCCTCCAGCAGAGACCAAACCAGCCCGAGCGTACCTTCTCTCAGCTCTACACCCAGGCCTGCCAGCCTGGGAAGAGTCTGCTGAGGTTCTTTGGGTCCATTGCTTGTTGGATGAGCAGGTTGACTTGCCCCCCAACACTGAGGACCGTGCCCTCCTCCACTCCCTTCAGCTTCTCCTGCAGCCTCAGCAGCACCCGCTCTGCCACTTTGTTGAAGCTCTGACTGTCACTGCAGGGAGAAGAGAAGAAGGTGATGAGACAGAGCTTTAAGAGAGACAGGAACGCCTCTACAACATCACTGAAAGGGCTCTCATATTGGAATCAGAGGATAAGATCGAGAGATGCAGCACCTGGATTTACGGTGGTTGTCTATCTCATCTCCTCCCATGGTGGAGCTGAGCGTCGCGTTGAGCTCCTGCTGTTCGTCGTGCTGCAGGTAGAAGGCTTTTAATGGGTTCATGGTCCAGTCGAACAGAGGGTCATACAGCAGCACCTGTAGAGCAAATTAACACGTATTACACCATGGTCTGGGTGAATACATGACTCCGAATGGCTGCAGGGTGTCCAGTAATTCCTGATAATGGACACCTATGAAGTGGGGTACACCTATGGGATGGTACAATTGTTCCAGATATTAGTCAAACCCTCAGGTGTTTCCAGCAAAACCAAATTATGGCTTGTGAAGACCTTTAGATTCTGATTGTAAAACACATAAAAATACAGGTGAATATTCTTAATTGACCGTGTTATAAACAGAATAATGCCCTTCAAGGTGTTTGTAATCAGGAATTATTGGCCTCCCTAACCTAAACGCACAAAGGCAATGTTTAACACGAGGTTAAAGAAATGTCAGAGATGTACTGTAAGAGAGTTTGTGTGTGGGGGAGTTGTTCCATGTTCGTACCTCTACAATAGTCAGCAGAGCTTCTTCAGAGCTCCTCATCACCTCCATGGTCTTCTCACAACATCTGAACAGAGAAAACAGGTGAAGTTCATTCAGTTTCTTTTTCATCAGCGTGTCCCTGAAGGCATCACAAACCAAAATGTTTTACAAACCAGTTCTGCACGTTGATTTTTTACCCTGTGGTGACATGAATATAAAATAGTGGCTGACTGCAGGGTAGGAAACCAGTCTTAAAATGTCAGTTAAGTTTGTCAGGACTAATGAGTATGTACTTTGTAGTACCAGTTCTAGTTTTGTGGTTAATGGGCTACAATCATTACCTCAGGGGGGACGACTGTAATGGGGTAAAACACTACATGAAAATGTTCCCAGCCTTGACTTCCCATTAGTCCTGGTTTATAAATATCTAATGAAATCTTGTCCTCCTCACCTCCTGAACACTCCCTCCACTCCAGTGATGCCCATGCCATCTACAATGTCTCTGGACAGTCTGAAGGGGACAGTCTCGGGGGTGGGGAGGATCTTCCCCTGCTCAAAGGCCACACCTGAACAGCATAAGCAATGAAAAGGAAACAAAGAGAGGGATGTGTTAGGATGCATGTCACACCATGGTATTCATGATGTCTTGATCCCTGAATTTAGAGCTTAAGAGTCAGAAAGTGTTCACCATGTTAAAACAAGAGTTTCATTGATTGTAAAATCAAACAATGCACTTGAATCAAACTCTACTGGGTGGAGAATAAGTCTCTTGCCAAGTTACACAACACCGCTTTGTATTACTTGAATTACAGCAGCCCCAGTACAGTCAGCTATTATTTACAGAGCCTCTCCTATTTCTGAAGTGTAGAGCAAACTATCTGTGTTTGCATACACAAAACTAATGAGAAGAATTTTACCTAAATCGATGTGCACCAGCTCAGCAGTCTGCTCATCAACCAGAATATTCTGGATGTGTCGGTCGCCCAGGCCTACGATGTAGCCAACTGCAGGCACAAAACAGAAAGATGGCAAGAAGTCAAAATGGTCGTTCACAATTTTAAATCCCCAAGATGTGTGTTATTATATCACCATTATTTATTATAATGTAATGAAAAAACCATTAAAGGGTAAGTATGACATTTTTCAGCCTGAACCCTTTTCCCATGTTTTTGTGTCTAAATGACTTATGGGAACAACCATTTTTAAATTGGTCTAGCATTGAGCAAAAGGGCTGCAGCCACGAAACAGGCTGCAATGAAAACACTAAATTTACATTCACTAACAGGCTCAGAATGCAGTTATAAGTGTCTGACAACACTATGTAAAGCACCCAACAAAGATGACCTTTTAGTTAAAGAGTAAGACCCTTTTTGTTTGACTAGAAACGGCCCTGAATGTGCCATCACCAAACCCTCAAACTCCATTTAAATGAAGTCATTTTAGCGTGTACAAAGCCAACATATTGTCTCATCAAACTGGATGAATTAAGAGTTTATTTCAACCAAAATAGAGTTGATGATTGTTGGAACAGTGGAAAGACAAAGCAAGATGGCTTTTGTGGATTTTATTTTGTTTCTGTTGACTTTGAATGAAGGTGTGTCTGACACCAAGAACATTAATCTGAGCTTGTCAGACGCTGATCAAGCACTTTTAGTGAACGTAAATTGATGGTGCGAACATGCAACAAGTAGTTACATTGCGGCTTGTTTCGCTGCCAGTTGTGGACCAATTTAAAAAAGTGTTGTTCCCATCAGTCACTTAGAAACAGAAACATGGGAAAAGAGGGTCCAGGTTGGGAATGACCAAGCGTAGCCTTTAATAACTGTAATAATTTGTTATGTCTCCAGGTCAAAATTTATACCCATGTTAAGATGGCCTGGGGGCCAACATGGTGTTGAGCTAAACACAAGACCTGGGGTGAACATGCAGGACTTTATATACCTATAGAAGAGGTGGCCACGCTGCGAGTGTAAGCCAGTCGTTTCTCCATCCACACTGCAGGGTCAAGGAATCGTTCCATGCAGAAATACCTGAAGACCGGCCTGAAGTTTTTGCACACCTCACTGTAGGCCTGGAGCTTGTCATCAAACCCGAGCTTCTGAGCCTCCTACAATGACAGCATGGCCGAAGATTAAATGGACAGGTGTTTATATACTTTTGTAGGGATGCAGACATTAAGTTCAGACGTCAATTTAAATACCAAGACTAGAAAGGCTAACAACAGACAAATCCCTGTCGTGCAGGACGGTGCTGTATCTTTTCTATTACAGCCCTGAATATGCCTGAGTCGTACCATCATCTTCCTCCGACAGGCCAGGTTGGTCCAGTCCTGGGGTTTAAAACGTTTGTGGGCTCCTTTACTGGGATCCACCAGAAACTCCCCAATGGGCACCGTGCCAGAACACCACTCTAACACACCGCTACGCTGTGAGAACGGCACCACCTGGGATGAAGCAGAGAGAAAGCAGATGATGCAAGTGTAAGTGGGTTTTTCAAAACTGCTTTGATGCCGTCTTTTAAGAAAATAAGGGAATTAGAAGTCGATGACACAAAGATCAAAGGGAATATGCAACAGAACATGCCGGTACTGAATTATTATTCTCTTTGAATTAAAGAGCAATGGTTTAAACACAGGATCAAGTGGGGAGAGAGAGGATTAAACAATGTGTGTAACCTTGTATCGTCTGATGTTGAGCTTCCTCTTGCGAGTGTCCGTATTGCGCTGCAGCAACATGGAGCACATGCTGAAGACCTGCTGCATCACTGCATCCTGCCGCAGGTCGTCCTGACCCTGTTTACACAGAGGTCAAAGGTCACTGGAAAACATATAGTGTACCACAGCACCAAGGAGCACTGAGAAGCTCATTAGGAGCCTCAGTTTAATTCCACAAATATATCAGTCTTTTTTTTAATCATTTTTATTGAATTTAAAACCACTGAAGTCATTAAAATGCAAGA